TAATTTGTTAACTCCAGTCACTTGAAAAGTAGATAATGAAATAGGCTCTGGTTTATATATTACTTCTCCATATATTATAGAAGCCCTCAACCTTTTCCCCATTCATTGAACATACGAGCTAGGTGGGCTAGCATTACTCTTCATATTTTAAAGATGCAAATATAGAATACATTACTTATGCTAGTAAAGGTTGCCTGAGTCAGTAGCAGAATGGGCTCTAGAATATACAACTAATGTATACCTATCTATACATTAGTTGTATGAACTGTACTTGCAAATTTGTTTAAATTTATTGTCCTTTCATTCCATTAATTTAGAAAATAGGCAATCATGCACAACCGAATTCAACTAGAAATTTCCCCTCCAGGTTATTTCCATCTTCTGCCTGACGGGGATTTGTGGAAGGTCAGACTGCTGAATCTATCACAATGATCCTTGTAAAGCTGTTTGAGCATTTTCCTGGAGGAAGAGTCAGGAAACAGCATTTATTTCATCTTACAACCAAATGATTGTCATACAGAAATTTTGTTGAGGACGGTCAAGTTGATTATTACCTTTCAGGATAAAATTCAGTCTTGCTGGCTTCAATGGATTCTTGAATACTGAGCTGAATATCATAACTTGTAAGATTGTCTTCATCGGGGTCATCATTACTATCCATGACTAAATATAATTTTGAAAAAAGCAATTTCTTATTATCAACAAATGGCACAGGACACCATATAAAGTTAACATGAAACATGCAAAGTGAAAAACTAAAATGCGTTTACCTTTCTCCATTTAACAAATACAAATGCATTTGTTAACATTTTAGTCCATATTGTATATGAAGCCCATTCTAATTTTTGAACCTTGAATTACTTGTCCTTTGAGTATCTGTATTTTCTAATTTTGACTCTCTTTTCAGTAATGACTACAGTTGGGCTTATAAGAATTCACTTTTCCCACATTTCCGACTTACAAGAATTTTGGCCTGTTTCCTCAAGACACAGCACATTAGAAGTTTAAAACTCTAATCCATAAGTAAGACAATGGCAGGAATAGAGAACAGTGAACCTTTCCCATCCTTTACTCATGATTTCGTGTCTGCTGTACTTGCTTATTTGTTGATTACTAGTAATTCCTTTGCTCACACCAGCAGTGGTTTGAGTTCGCTGCCTTGAGTTGCAGTTGTTTTTGTATTTGTGTTTAACTTCTAATGACTCTACGCTTTTTGAGGTGAAGGGTTCTCTCTCACTCATCTCTGCTTCCCCTACTGTTCTAGAATGTGCTGGGCACAGGAAAGATTCTCAATGAATATGTGTTGAATTAAAGTAGAGAGAACAGAACATCACAAATGCAGTGCCCTTGTCCTGCCTTCAGGAAATTTGAAGCATTGAGATAAGAGCCATCTTAACTCCATCCCCAGACTAAAGACCAGCCCTTCGTGGAATAGAAATTCCTTCCCCCTCCACAGTTATCCATTAGAAGCCACTGCTCTTGACTAGTCTCTCTCCTCTGAAGATGTAAAAATATAGCTTATTTATCGTTGCCTTATTTCTTCCAAATATCAAATTAGAAGAGAGAGTGTCTCTCATTACTATTGGGTCAATTGTTTTATCTTAGAAATGTAGCTAAGTGTAGAAATCCAAATAGTCCTACAGTTAGGTTGATTGATCAATATGAAATTATTTGAGAGTAGTGATACTTTTCAGGACAAAATGTATTTATATTGTAGTATGTGTTTTAAAGGTGAAAACAAAACAAAACAAAACAAAAAACCAAACAACTCAAAATAGTATTCTGTGGGCAATTTCCAAACACAGGAATTGTTGAGCCCTAGCTGGTTTGGCTCAGTGGATAGAGCATTGGCCTGCGGACTCAAGGGTCCCAGGTTCGATTCCAGTCAAGGGCATGTACCTTGGTTGCGGGCACATCCCCACTGGGAGGTGTGCAGGAGGCAGCTGATCAGTGTTTCTCTCTCATCGATGTTTCTAACTCTCTACCCCTCTCCTTTCCTCTCTGCAAAAAATCAATAAAATATATTTTTAAAAAAAGAATTGTTTACCATGGCTCAAGGTTAGATAAGCTCAAACAATAAAGACAGTTCTGTTCATGCTGATAGTCAAGGACCCTGACCTGTGCACAGACTGCACACCAGTAAGTCACATCATAATGATTTTATTGTTCATTGTTCTGCATTACTATCAGCTGGAAACAGAGGAGAGAATAGTGATAGTGTGCACTCCACTGAACATATTTTCTCACACCATGATATCTCAGTCTACTCAAAAGGCTAACATGTGCCTTAGGGATTCTAGTCAACAAATAGATTCAAGTGATATTCTATTTGTTATTGTTTACTCCTTCATTGTCTCTCTGTTCCCCCTAGAATGTAATCCAATAAGACGAGAGAATTAGTTTGTATCGCCAGTGCCTAGAGAAGCATCAGCTCATGATTTATGGACTCTAAATGCATATTGAATGAATGAATGAATTAATTAATTAATTAATGAACACTAAAATAATCTAAGCTCTGCTTTATTCTTAGAATTGACTGTTTTCCTCAGGTATGCAGTCTTTCTTCCAACTAAACAAATCTGATTGCCCACTCTGCACTTGGCTTCATTTTTTGCACTTTTGTGCTTTCATACCTTTCTCCTCTGCACTCACAAGCCTTCATTGTTCCATGCCCACGGCCCACACTGCCTCAAACCTGGCTTGAGATGTTCTTCGTACAAAAGCCCTTGCTGAAATTCTCCAATTCCTCTCTGGCCTTCTTTATCTGTGTGTATCTCCTTTTATATAATTTTTTCCCCAACATCTGGACTTGCAATCATTGTGTATTTGCTTTGCAAGTTCCTCACGTGTTTGTGTTTTGTATTCTCACTTGGACAATTAGTTTTATGAGTAAAAACAAACTTTCTTTTTCCTTTATGTCTCCTCTCTCTACTCCACTCCTAGTCAACCACAGCAAATTGCTATCGCAGTGGTCACCAGAGAAAATGTGTTGACTCACTCACTAGTAGTGGAGAGCACTGAGACCTTCAGACAGCACAATTAGACCATGAAGTTAAACCTGTGGCATTGCCTGTTGCCTTTCTCACTAACATCACTGTGGTGACAGGGGATTGCATGGCTCCGGGATTAGTAATGAGATACAGAGCCTTTCACCTATTTAAATCACTGGCTTAACTCTAAAGCTGTTTGAAATTTGGGCTTCCAGGACATGAGATACTACAGACTCCTTAGAGAACTGAGTTGATCTGTGGAAAGTTTTTTTTTAAATGTCCTTTTAATTACCACCAGAAGGAAGTTATCTAAGACTTTCCACTGCTTTGTATCCCTAATGACAGCAGGGTAGAAACGATGAGGAAACTACTACTACTTAAAGCAATCCCCACCTAACACAAGCTGTCTCCATCCTTTTACTGAAAGCTTAAGGGGAAGGGTGATCCATGTGCAGGTGCCCTAGTGTGTCAGAGAGACAAGGGTGCATCACTGGAATGGGTCTAGTCCAGGGGTGGGCAAACTTTTTGACTCGAGGGCCACAATGGGTTCTTAAACTGGACCAGAGGGCCGGAACAAAAGCATGGATGGAGTGTTTGTGTGAACTAATATAAATTCAAAGTAAACATCATTACATAAAAGGGTACGGTCTTTTTTTTTTTTTTAGTTTTATTCATTTCAAACGGGCTGGATCCGGCCCGCGGGCCGTAGTTTGCCCACAGCTGCTAGAGACATTAAGACGCAATGACAATGGACTACAAGGCGGTAAAAAAGAAGGAACTCGTCATTTGCAACAGCATGAATGGACCTAGAGAGTATTATGCTAAGCAAAATAAGCCAGTCAGGGAAAGATAACTATCACAGGACCTCACTCATATGTGGAATTTAACGAACAAAACAAACTGATTAACAAAATAGATCCAGAGACATAGAAGCTTGGAACAGACGATGAATTTCAGAGGGAAGGTGGGGGTGGGGGTGTGGGTGGGGGTGTGGGTGGGGGTGGGTGGATGGGGAGAGATTAAGTGAGGAATTTACATGCATATATGCATAGTCCACGGACATAGACAATAGTGTGGTGAAGGCCTGAGAGGGGCGGGTGCAGGCTGGAGGGTATCAATGGGAAAAAAAGCAAAAGGGACATGTGTAATAGTTTCAACAATAAAGATAATTTTTTTTTTTTAAAAAAAGACACAATGAGAAGGGCAGGAAGACAGTTATTTATCTGTACCTCAAAATTAAAATGACTGGACTCAATCCCAGATGAAGGCTGGAAACAATTTTTAAAATATATATATTTTTTAATTGATTTCAGACAGGAACAGAGAGGGAGAGAGAGATAGAAACATCAATGGTGAAAGAGAATCATTGATCAGCTGCCTCCTGCATGCCCCACACTGGGAACAGAGCCCGCAATCCAGGCATATGTCCTGACCAGGAATGGAACGGTGACCTCCTGGTTCATAGGTCAATGCTCCACCACTGAGCCACGCCTGCCAGGCTGCAAACAATGTTTAAGTAAAATACCAGCCAGGTACCTGAGGAAAGGCCAAATACTCTTGACATCCTATTTACAGGTGCCCCACTGCTCAGTCTGGCAAAATTCACTGACCCTTTCTAAATAATAGTTTGCCAATCCTGTTCTGAAGAAGCCCACTATTTATTTATTCTCCACAAGTAGCTGGTGTACAACATAACTGGGACAATCCGATTGGACAGTGAGCCATTTCGTGTAAAGCACTGGTCAGCCTTGCTTTGATGAAAGCAATGTGTTCTCTCCACGCATGCGTTTTCTGAGGCCTCGTATGCCAGGTAACGAGCCATTAAATTAAGGATTCTCAGACACTAAATGTGTTATTCAGATGTCAATAGTTATTACTTTACAGATGGGCTGAGTAAAATCCTAGCTTTAGGTGGTGGGAAAGAGAGTGGGTGATCATGTACATTTTAGATTCTCTTGGGTAATAATAAAAATGGTGATTATAATGATAGCCATAAATCATTGAGTGATCATGTCGTTTCCAGCACCCTGCATAGCACTTTGCACACACCGCCTTGCTTTAAATCCTCCAGTTCCACTTTTAAGAATTATAGATTCGTCGTGCATAAGTGGAAATTTGGGTTTCAAGAGGTTAAAAAACCCACCCAATGTCGCAGAGCTAAAAAGTACGAGTCTGGACAGGTACCCTCGTGTTTAAGATCTTCCCGAAGCGGCAGGAAAACAACCCACACAGTCTGTTGCCCTTAAAAAGAAAACACTCTGATCTCGCTCTTAACAGCCAGTCTTGATGACAATGACTTCCAAAAATAAAAAATAGCTTCCAGGACACACAAATCTTTCTCTTCGGGTCCATGTGACAAGGCTTTGAGCTTCGGACGGTCCGAGGTGTCCTAGACTTGCCTTCGTTCTGTACTTTTGTTTTGGAGTCTACACATTACAGTCTGAAAAATAGGATCAGCATGCCAGCTGGTGCCTGACCCAAGTGGTCAGGAGGTCGGATGATGTTGCAAGGTAGGATGCAGGAGGCAACCTGGGTACATGCACTAGTAACCTCTCTGCCCTGGACTCTCTAAACTACCTCTAATCCGTGATCCGTGATAACAGCAAACTGTTGATAAGTTTGTGAGGCCCCTCAGAGCTTCCCTTGAAACCTGGGAGCTCCCACAGAACAGGACCGACCAAGGTCCTCTTTTTCCCTCAACCAGGGCAAATATGACTGTGTTCCCTATGGACTGTTTATTTCCAATGACATCCAAATCCGTTTAGCCCATTCACCCTCACACTCTGTCTTGGGCAAAACAAAAATGAAATCATTTCTGTGAGTACTAAACAGGGCTGGCCTTAAGAGTTCCTGGAGTGGCCCTAGCCGGTTTGGCTCAGTGGAGAGTGTTGGCCTGCGGATGGACTGAAGGGTCCCAGATTCAATTCTGGCCAAGGGCACATGCCTGGGTTGGGGCTCAATCCCCAGTAGGGGGCATGCAGGAGGAAGCTGACCAATGATTCTCTCTCATTACTGATGTTTCTATTCCTCTCTCCCTCTCCCTTCCTCTCTGAAATTAGTAATTATTTCTTTTTTTTAAGAAGAGTTCCTGGAGTGGACCATTGCTTCCATGTTGCAGGGAAGGGCTTTGCGTCCGTAATGTATCACTGCCCCCGACACCTATCACATCAGTGTCATTCTGTTACATCAGTCAGAGGTTCTCTCCGGGAGAGCTGATTGTTCCATCTTCCAGAGTCCCTTTTAAAATGCCCATAGCCCCAGGGTAGAACCAGAATCTGTTGGAATAGTTAAGTGGGAGGGGATGATGGCAGAGGGTCTAAGACTGAGTCCAGTGGGAAGTGATAAGAGAGGATAAGAAAAAAGCAATACGGTAACATTTGGTTCTGCTCACAGTTTTCTACCAAGGCCAGCCCCCAGCCAAACCAGCCGTTCTGCAGGGGGTGCAGGCTCTGCTGTGTGGAAGGGGAGACCCAGACACCCTGAGGAATTTCCTTTACCTTAACCGTCTCTGGCCCTTGGGTGAGGAGTTCTTCTGCTGGAGGTCCCAGAGTTTCATCAGGATCTGTCCTACGAGAGGAACAGCAATAATTAAAGAGCATTTCCGTTTTTCGGTTTTGTTAAGGCAATGTAGTTATATACAAACAATGGGCATTCTCATTTTCTGCATTTTGACCATCTATTTGTATAATGTTAAAGACATATTGAAGTCAATATAAAAAATATTTTGTAATAACTTTGGTTTTTATTTGGTGTTTTTCAGATCCTTCATTTTTTCAGCACAAGTGGCAAGTCAAATAAAGGGCTTCCTTCGGTATCAGAGCCAACTAGTCTCCAAGAGATGTCAAAGAGCAGCGACACTCTGTCACCCCAGGTCCCACTCCACAGGCACCAGCGACTGTTATTTACAAGCCAGGAGTTACAGCAATTCCCTCTTCATGATATTCACCTTTTCTTTTTTTTTCCTCCAGGTGAAATTTTTTATTTTTCAATTACAGTTTACATTCAATATTATTTTTTGTTGTTTTCAGGTGTGCAGCATAGTGGTTAGACAATTCCATATGTTACAAAGTGCCCCCCCACCCCGATATTTCAAGTACCTACCTGGCACCATACATAGCGATTGCAATACATATGACTGATTGTGTTCCCTATGCTGTACATTACATCCCTGTGACTGATTTGTAACTACCAGTTTGTACTTCTTAATGTCTTCACCTTCTTCACCCAGTCTCCCAACCCCCCTCCCCTCTGGCAGCCCATCAGTCTAAAGAACAAAACAAACCAACAAACAAAATGGAAACAGACTCATAGGTGCAGAGAACAGACTGATGGTATTTGCCTTTTCCATCAGAGAGACATCCTGTGGATAACAGAGAGAACAGACCAGTTCAAACAGCATCTTTAACAGCACCTCTTGTTCTGCTAAAACACACTCTCCCCACCCCTCCTGCAACTCCCCCAAGAAACAAATGCTACTTTTATGTTGCCTCAAAGTGAGAGAACTGAACATTTTAGAAAAGATATAAAAAGACAAAACGGATATATTGGTCTCCAGGCACCAAGTAAGATCTGGCATGTGATAGGAATTCACGAAGTATTTGCCGAATGAATGAAAAATTGGATGATCAAATATATACTACTGTGGAAATCAGCAAAAGAATAGATTAACCTTGTGTTTTCTTTCTCTGTCATACATATGTTTTTTGCCAAGTTCACTTCTAATTTTGGGACTGCATTAACTGAGGCTTAATTTCTAAGTAAATACACTAGTGATACAAACTGTCATACTAGTTTAACTTGTATGCGGTTTCATATTACAAAATTAGACATTTTCAGTCTCCACTATTGATTTCCAAGTCAAATTCACCCATGACAGAGATGTACGAAGATGCATGCTAGCTTTTGAAAATGACACAGAACAGAAAGGGTCTTTAGATTCACAAGTATGTGATTTCTTAGGGATTGGAAATGTAGACTAGAAAAGAATAGAGTAAGCATGGCCCATGAAGAGACACAATATGAATAAATGTGCCCTATCACTTCTAGTATGATAATATGATTTTTAAAAAGCCCAACGCTTTGTCTGTGCTTTTTAATCTAGGAATCTTATAAAAATAATCAGAGATATGGAAAAAGATTTGTATGTGAAAATGTTCATCCCAGCCATATTTAAACTGACAACACATTAGAAACAATGTAATCCCTAGCTGGTTTGACTCAGTGGATAGAGTGTCAACCTGCGGACTGAAGGGTCCTGAGATCAATTCCAGTCAAGGGCTTGATCCCCAGTGGGGGGCGTGCAGGAGGCAGCCGATCAATGATTCTCTCTCATCATGGATGTTTCTATCTCTCTCTCCCTCTCCCTTCCTTTCTGAAATCAATAAAAATATATTTTTAAAGAAGAAACAATATAAAACGTCCAACAAGAGAGAATTTGTATAAGACAGTATTGTATACCCAAACAATGGAAAACTATATAGTTATTAAAATTCATATCCTTGAAGACTATTCAATGCCAGGGAGAAAGCTTGGTTTGTGAGAACGATGCTCATTTAATCAGACATGACCAGCCACTTTGATTGGCTTTGTGGAGTCAGAGCTTACAGGGCCTTCCAGCAACTGGCCTGGCATCTGGCTCACAGGCCGAGCCTTAGGGGTGGAGAGATAGGTCACTTACGGGCAAGCCAGGCACCTTGGTGACATTGGGAAGAGTGGAAATTGATCAAATTTGTAGTCAAGCAGGGAAACTTGGTGGAGGGAGAGTCTTGGATTGAGGAAAGGCAGAAACTGAACAACGGATTCACCTGAGTCATCCAAGCCTTATCATTATCTAAGTTATTGTGTCTGTCTGCATGGCCCCGAAAGTATTTTCCACTAATTAGTGTGTAGCAGCTCTGGAGCAAGGTGGGGCCATACAGACAATAAAACAGCTACATTTGGTTTACCCAACTGAGTTGTAGAGTAAAAAATGCTCTGACTGCATCCAATAGCTACAATAACAATACAAATTCAATATCTCGGGACCTTCATAAAAACTATTGCACATGTGTACATGTATATGTATTTGAAAATGTACATCCATATATTCACCTACATAGATATACTCTCTCTAAAAATATTTGTTCCTGGGTCTGGTATATTTTGTTTGACATGACCAAAGTTCCTGTCTGGTGACCAAATCAAATCATTTTCTGCTTGAAACTCACTCAAAAAATAATGAGCCTTTGCATTTCTGCATGTTTATTTTGAATTCATGTTCAGGCCATTGATTTCTGCTGGAGACAGGTGAGTGTGGTAGTTGAACCTTCGTTCAAATCCTGCCCTCCCAGAGTAACTGCCTCATTAGCTGTGTCTGGCATGTTGCAGGTAGTCAATAAGCATTACTGTTAATATTCTGGGACTGGGCTCCTCCGGAGCGGGAAAGTAGCATTTTAAAGCTCGTTGGCCAGGTTTAGCTCTGTTCCTCACCCTTGAACAGGCACTCTGACACATTCATCATTTCCCGCTCCTCCCTTTCCTCTCAAATCACTTCACTTCAGAGTTAAAGACCACTGGGTAGCTCCACCTGGAAATTCCACGTACAACAGGCCCAAGTAATTTCCCAGGCTCAGCTCGAACACCAAAGTGGCAAGAAGCTTACTGTATCTCACACTGTCCTTCATCGTTGGCAAGCTTTAACAATGAGGACAAGCATTGAAGTTGAACCCATCTCCTCAAATCCTTGCTGTATGACCCGGGTATGCCTCAGAGCCACCCTGAGAAAATGCTGTTCCTCTGCCACAGGAGAGCCTTTCCACATCTCCCACGAAGGCTGGCAGGTCTCCACGGAGCCTTCTCCTCCCACGGCTGGACATGCGTCCTTCCTATGACATGGGTTCACCTCTTTCTACAATCTTGATTGCTTCCCTGTAAACACACTTCTTTAATATCCATCACTTTCTAAAAGAGGCTCTGAGCCAAGACCGGTTTGGCTCAGTGGATAGAGCCTCGGCCTTCGGACTGAAAGGTCCCGGGTTCGATTCCGGTCAAGGGCATGTACCTTGGTTGCGGGCACATCCCCAGTGGGAGATGTGCAGGAGGCAGCTGGTCGATGTTTCTCTCTCATTGGTGTTTCTGACTCTCTATCTCTCTCCCTTTCTCTCTGTAAAAAATCAATAAAAATATTTAAAAAAATAAAAAT